TGTATACTGTATACTATTATCACATTTACGCTCAAAGCACTTTGACAAAAAAAAAACATGTAAAAAAACTAAAGGTATGCATAAAATGAGCGATATTGCATAAACCATTGTATATGTATTTAATTTAATAAAAGCGTGGAGATGACAGGGAGAGAAAAAAGAAAGTGAGAGAGAGAGAGAGAGAGAGAGAGAGAGAGAGAGAGAGAGAGAGAGAGAGAGAGAGAGAGAGAGAGAGAGAGAGAGAGAGAGAGAGAGAGAGAGAGAGAGAGAGAGAGAGAGAGAGAGAGAGAAGGAAAGAGAGAGAGCGAGAGAGAGAATATGTGACGAAATGTAAAGAGCAAAGGCGCATCTGTGTAAGAAAAGTTCTCTACCTAAGCATCTGGAAACGACCACTTGTCTGCTTCCGATTTTCAAAACTAGAAACCTCTCTTGCTGAAGGCACATATATCGATAATTTTTCACTCTATCCTGGCACCGCCATTCCCTGTAAATCGGCGTGCAAGCCACTCTCGCTGCTTATGGCTCTCTGGGGACCACGATCAGTTCACTATTGTACCGGCTATCTCCGGCCTTTCCCTGAGCCCATATCGTGGTGTTTTTGTTGTTTCTGTCAGGCGTGGCGCCGACGAGCCTTGTTACTAATGTTGTTAATGTCCTGTGCCGGAGAATATGTCCCCACTGGATGATATCTCAGTGTTTATTTTAGCTACACATCCAGCGTAATACCACAGCCGCTCATTATGGAAATAAGAAACAAAGCAAGCAGCTTGAAACTTCTTTTTTTCTGAGATATGATATAACACTACATGTATGTATAGTAGGGGAGAGTGGGGCAATGGCGACACCATAAGCATTTTGCTCAATAGCTTAGCTATTTGAAGCTATTTTGTGGTGATTTTGACTGTGGTTATAGCCAAAGGAATAGGCTTTCAGATAACACCCAGTTTTAGTACCTCAGATCACTGATGACAGATTCAGAGCCTACGCGAAAATGTGGTGAAAAATGGAGGTGCAAAAAAGCGAGGGGTAATGCCGGCCACTAAGTGCAAAAGCACAAAAAGTCGAAATATCGTCACTGGTATTCATCCTTAAACCGTTCTTTTGATGGAAATTTAAGTGAGAATTAAGAAACGACAACTGTATTCAGCAGTTAACAGTGCACTGCACTGCAACACAACATTGCACTCGCTGCAACACAACAGCGCGGCGCCAACAGAGCAGCAAACTAACACAACCGTAAACAGCAAGCAAACTAACACAGCCGTAAACACAGCAACCCTTAACGTTGAGCTTTAACGACAGAAGTCGCAAACAAAACCGCGTGGAGTCATTCCGGACCCGTGTCCGGTATTACCCCGAGGTCAGCTTTATTTTAAGAAAGCAGGCAGCAGTCAAAGGCATTGCGTCGCAAACGCCTCACATCCAGCAGTCGCCTAAGAAAGGCTTAATTGAAGGTCATTGCAAAGCAGCACTTCTGAAAATGCGTTAACACATTTCACAGTCAGCAAATAGATGCAACAAAAATTAAAAATCAGATACGAAAAACACATTTAACGCTATAAAAATGAAAGTAATGGAGCTACCGTGACAAACTTGCACCACGTGCTAGAATGGCGCTCAACTGAAATGTAAACAACATCAGCTGATTAGTGATGGACAAAGTACACACTAGAGATGGGTGGCCGGCATTACCCACCGTCCGCCATTGCCCCGCTCTCCCCTAAGCTTGCGCATTTTAAAATTAGACGTGCAGAGTTAAACGTATTTGAGGCGAATATAGATTGCAATTAAAACCTATCAGTTTTTTTGAACTTACGGATAAGTTCAGTTGCCTTTACTTATCCGTTTATTTTCTTAATCTAACTTTCTTAAAGGGACCCTCCCACCTTCAAAAAAGTTAATGAATTGGCACGAAAGTGATGTCGCTCGGTTCAGAAAGAGCGAAAACGAATATCTACCAAATTTCATCGAAAAATATTCACCGGTTTTCAAGATATTAGACTTTTACTTTTGTTTACTTTTTGGGATCTCCGCTGTTCCTAGCGACTTTATTTGAAAGTGCGGCATTTGTTGCGCGCAAAGCAGCATATACCACCGCGTGCTACCAAACGTTTTAGTAAAAGATTTAAAAATCGTTAGATCTCCGCTGACGTCACAAATTCTAAGGGGGCATACCAATGCACTAGCCCCTTAGAATCCGAAAACTGCAAGTTTGAAATTCCATATCTCCGAATTAAAGCATTTGTCGATGTTGTGAGTGCCCAAACCGGTATTTGCAGGCCATGGCCACCAATTTGGCTATCTCAACTCAAAACTAATGTTAAGGTGGGAGTGTCCCTTTAATCTAAGTTAGTTTTTACCTATTCATAATCATATTTATATTTAACATCACTTGTTCTAGCTTTGTTTGTCCGGACACCAAGTTAAGTCTTGGCTCTTGCATAAAAATAAATGAACTGTGTGTTAAGTAATACGATTCGATTGCACCTTAAGCCGTTCTATTGGTCTATCCCTTCTATAAGAAAATGAACGGCTACTGACTTGACCATACATTAACCGGCTGACCAGTTTCCTTTGCAGAGCAGCCTGGGAGTAGTTGTATTGCACTCGACCTTAGAGAATCAATTCGCATTGACATAATGCTGTCGTACAGCAAAATAACGCTAAGCAAGAAGCTGGGCAGACTCGACCCAGTCACACAGGACAAGCGGGGTAATGAATGGTCTTACACAGTACTTCATGCAATACGGCGGCAGGAACGCTCGGATATCGGCGGAAATTATTTTAGAAAAGTTGATGAAAAACACATTTCTTATAAATAATTTGTGTCTTATGATCATCTGAGAAAGCCTTTTCTGTGCAATTTACTTCCTGAAATTTTGTTTTGTTTGATAAACAGATGCATAGGTAAATCAGTTTACCTGTATGCAATATTCATGTACTGCGTACAAATGTTGTAGTAATGTTTGTAGAAATGTTCTACATAGGTGCCGTCAAAGGTGGCGTCATTCGCTGGCTGTCGCAGCGGACCACAGGGTGCAGTGACACCCTCCATTGAGACTCGATTTTCAAGATCATGCCGATAGAATGCATGGAAGAAAGCGAGCTCTCAACCATCAACTTTGGCGTTTTAGTCCTCTCTTTCAATCTCAGATTATTCCGCAAAAGTTCGCTTTCCATTACCGAAGGGATCATCAAGTACATTGGTTTGGTACTATTGGTTATTTTTATTATTAAACTCAACAACTGCGTCAATGGCTGAGAAAGCGGATGAAGTTTGACGTCACATGAACCTATATTTACGTATCCATTTGAGGCAAGATCGGCCGTCGTGAATGAAAGATCGAACGAGAAGCCCCAGGCATGCATGCGCAATTTATGTACCTACGTATGAGCGCTATTTTTTTTAAATACGTATGGCGATTGACGGCATGAACATAAGTGCAGCAAAGTCTTGGTTAACAAACAATTCGGCTGAAAGATCACCGCAAAGTCTTTTTTTCATTTGACGTTCCAAGCGGCAAGCAATATAGGACAGGTGGAATGGTATGGTAAATGTACCTAAACGCAGTCTTTGGCAAACCGGCTACAATAGGCAGCGTAATCCATATGGACGAAGTTAATCTTTATTTCACTAGTTTCCATTATCATTATCATATTCACGATTCTACCTATAGGCATATGAACTAAAACCACCTATTGTCTCACCAGATTACCGGGTAACATCGATCACTGTCTCTGCAATCAAAACGAACAGTTGATCTCCTCTAACGAACTCATCCCATTAAGACGGAGATTGGAGACTGCATTTAAGACAAGCAAGCGAACACCCGATGTTAAAACCCATTGGACGGTGCGACGGAATGCATTCAGCGGAAAACGATCAAGCACAGCCTTGGGGAGGGTGTGTAATTGAAACTCGAGTAGGCTGGAAACTTTGGTCAAGGAAACAGGCAGAATATTAACAAAACGATGAAAATAACTTTTAGTGTGCGTGACTGTAAGCGTATTTCATCGCCAGCTTGAGTCACGGGAATACCGACTAATCGTATGCCGCGGGGCATCATTATTCATCAATTTACATAAGAAAATGTAATTAAGCTAAGGAAAACATTTTAGAAATGACAACGCATTTTCCACACTCAACAACAGCCACAGTCGAAACCGGTGGCAGAGGTGATAATGCTGGATAACAGGGCAGACAGCACGAGTAATGAAGATAAGAACAGCGACGGCCCAGGGATGGCACAGGTCAATATGTGGTGAATTCAGAGGTGCGGGCAGTAGCTCGTAGGTGTTGGCGGATGGTCGACGAGCGGACCCACAGACAGCAACTGGCCGACAATCGGGCAGACAAGCGTGGGGTGGACTCGCAAACGGCATACGGTCGTTGGCCGGAGCTGGAGGCCGTGGCGGACAACCGTAAAGCGAACTCACAGACGACACACAGCCGTCGGGCGGAGCCGGAGATGGCTGCGGACAGTCGGACCGACGATCCTCAGGCGGACGGTCGTAGGGCGGGGCCGGATAAGATGGATAGTTATTAGCACACGGCGAATACCCATGGGCGTAGGAACCTCACGAAAAGTGTGGGGGGGGGGCAGGGAAACTTCAATTGCACTTTGTGGGAGCCCTGATACCCCTATGAAGAAATTCTTTGTAGTTTTGTGGTCATCTCACCTTGCTGAACCGTTTCCTGCCCTTGGTAATATTTAAATAAAAATAAAGATTTTACTCTAAAAAATAGCTGAAAAGTGGGGGCATGACCCCGCCCCCCCCCCGTTCCTACGCCTATGCGAATAGCAGACGGCGGGCAGTTGTTGAGCGGATCCGAAGACAGCGGACATTTAGGCGGACGATCTTCGGGCGGAGCCGGATACGGCGGACAGACGCCTGCCGGAGCCGGAGACGGCGGCAGACATTCAGCTCTGATCAGCGCGGTGCGGGCGGCCCCGGCCGTGCCAGCGCGGTGTGCTGGCGGCGGGGCCGTCCGGCCGGCCGGCCGGCCACTTTCTCCCGAGGTCGGCGGCGAGCCGCGCGGTGCCGCTCCAGTCCGCCGCCGTCTGCCGTCCAATATGGCCGCCTCCATCGCGAGAGAGTTCTGAGTGGTCTCACCAGCATATGGACGATAGTGAACAGCGCTCATCATGAAGTGTTCGGGTGTGATCTTGTGTGCTGTGGTGTTAGTGGCTCTGCTGGCTGCTGTGAATGGTGAGTGGATGAACCAGATGGCTGGGTGTGGGCAGTTCTGAGATAACTGGGACGCAGAGTTTCTTGTTGCGATAAGATCTGGGTGAAACTGTGGACGAATCCAGTGGTTTAGCATAAGATTTATGTACAGAAGTATATAACACCTTTTCTTTCAAGCTAGGACAGCTGCAGTGATCTAGTATGCCCAAATTTGTTGCACATGTGTCGCATTCTGTGTATTTCCTCTACTTCGACCTTCACCTTCGTCCTTGAGCGGGCGGCGGGTCCCTGCGGACAGAGCTGGTAATTGGAGCGAGACACGGCTCTGTCCTTCGGGTACGGATCTCTCAGCTCAGATGAACAGACAGCTGTTCAGAGATCGGCTGTGAACCGACCCGACTTTCCACCGCCGCCGGACGGCGCGTGTTGCGTCGTTCCGGACTTTTCGAGGCCAGCGCCGGCGGCGGTGCGGCCGAGTGAGGTGACTCAGACTGGATTCTGGCCGCACCTGTCCCCACGCCCTGACTAACGGATGAACCAGAAGAGTTAACGGACCGGGGAGAGGGGGGCGGCCGCCACCCCCGTCCCAGCTGACCAACCGGTCCGTCAGCCTTTGTGCGACAGCTTTCGATTGCTGCCGACTATTCGACTGGGGCGTATATAAAATGCTGCGCTGCGCCGCGAAGCCTTTGTCCCGAGAAGCTGAGCCAAGTGTTTTTTCCGCAGCGTTAGGGCTGGTTCGGGGAGAACTGATAATTCATCAAAGGCTCTGATGAAACGACTCGGGCGGGTTGCTGCGGCGGAAAAGTAGGTGAAAACTCTCACTGTTCGGATGGCTGAACGGAACGATGCTAGTAAGGCTTTCGATTTCATTATGTTCACAAACTTTTCCCAGCCTTCAAACAAAACTATGTCAACGTCCTAGAGCCCATTCGGAGAGAGAGAGAGAGAGAGAGAGAGAGAGAGAGAGAGAGAGAGAGAGAGAGAGAGAGAGAGAGAGAGAGAGAGAGAGAGAGAGAGAGAGAGAGAGAGAGAGAGAGAGAGGAGAGGAATCATTAAAGAAATTGTAAAGGATTGAAATGTATCGGATGAAATTGAGAGAAAACACAGAAGATTCTGTTTAGATAATATAATATAAACCGCATTGTATACTCTTGTCAGCACTAGTGTTTCTTTTCTTTTGGATGTTAGGTCCCTTTGGTCTATTTTATACTATTTTGGGCACGAAAATGAGAAGCAAGGGAGGAGACCATGGGCTGATTCGATCACACCCCGCGCCGGTCGGGGCGCCGTTTGAGTCCGCACTTTTCCATTGCGATATGGTTTCTGGGTAGGAGAGGCCACACAGCCGATTAAGCGGTCACTCCGCCGGAGGGTCATAGCTTTTTAATTGTCATCACCGGTTGCCTGGGTGGGGTGAACGTCAGTCCGGGAACGAGCAACGAGCAGGCAGGGCCTACTTTTTTAAAGGAAAACTTTGTGAGGCACATCACTAGGACGACGGTCAGCCGTCAGAAATGGAGAATAAGTAGCAGCGCTATCACATGCACTATTTCTCAAACATCAGAAAAAAATACCCATTCCTTTTTGGTTATTGCTCATATGTTTGGTACTAACATGTGGCGGTCGGTTTTCAGCAACCGTTGGCACTGATAGTGTCTGTTCATCAAATATTATGCCTGTCCCGTTAAAAAATACTCGTCCGTGTTCAGGTGTCTGTAAATGTCCATTGATCGTCCTTATGCGATGCATCTACGTCCGTCAATTAATCCCACCTGCCCTCTATCCACTTCCTATTTGCCCGTCCCATTTCCCCTTCGTCTACTTTCTCGCCGACCCTGCTTTCGGCCGTGGTCCCGTCAGCCACACTACCGTAATATCAACCCCTCCCGTTCGTCTCCTTTTTCATCTCGCCCATTGATCCGATATCTCATCCCCCGTCCATTGTGTAAGGACGAAGGATGCCTATCAGGAGCCCATTTCGTCCGCTGTCAATCACAGTCAGCCCGTTGTCCCATTGTTAATTTGTTCGCTGTGCCAACGTCTCGCGGTTGTCTTATTCCCCCTTGTTTGTGGGAAGTCTCAGTCCATTCAGTCTGTTGTATCACCTCAATCCGTCCACTATACACTGTCTCAGTTCATCACCTCATGACCGTCTCTCTGTACATTATCTCATGACTCATTGTTCCTCAGTTTGTTGTCTCACCACCCCTCGGCCACGGGCCATGTGTCTCATTGCCTCCCGGCCCCGTCCATTTTCTTCCATTGCCTCCAGGCCGATGTCTCACTGCCCTTATCAATACATTGAACCATAGGCGGCGGAACGGGGAGGGCACCGGGGCACCGTGCCCCCCTTTGATTTTGACATTTTAACATTAGCCCTATGGGTGTTGCATGCAAAGAATGGGACCAAAAGTTGGCAGTGCCCCCCCCCCCCATAATTGAAGGTGTTCCGCCCCTACTGCATTGAACCACACCTTCTTCTTTCCACAGGAGTGGGCCAGCGGCGCTGTTTCCAGTGTCGGTCTCGTGGCTCCCGCGGCGGCTGCAAGGACTCGTTCTCTCACAACATGACACAGCTGCTGGCAGGGGGCGTGCGAGGCGTGCGGGCCGAGCCCTGTGCCTCCGGCTGGTGCGGCAAGATCATAGAGGGCGACACAGGCGTCAATGGTGAGAGGCTGGCTGTGGAGGGTGATGGAGAGGAGCTGGGGAGAAGGCGTAACTGGAAGAGGGAAGGGAAGGGGAGCGTGAAAGGAGGGGAGGGACGGTCTGGCTGGCTCAAACATGCCATTGCTCACATCTGTCGTCTGGGAAGAGAGGAAGATAAGCGTGATGAGATGGTCGGGTCGATTGGCGATTAATCCGGTGACCCACGGATGGGTGATTGTTTTTTAGCAGAATCATGCTCCGAGGGATACTGTACAGGGTACCGGAAGTCAGAACAGTGTGGTCTGACAGTGGAAAGCATCAATGCCTCAAACGTTGTGCATTTAGCCCACCAATTGCATTACCTTTTTTTATCTCAGTTGGTAGAGCTGTAGGTCGTGATGTCTGTCTGATCTGTGCTCGCAGGCTTTCGCCGATCGTACGGAAGGTGTAATAGTGAGTGACTGACGCTTTTATCGCCTATTCCAGACTACGACACGGCCACGGAGCGGATGTGCATGCAGCGGCCTCCATCGGACCTGCAGGAGCGCTGTGACCTGACCATGTACGGCCAGTACCGTAAAGTCTACCTGTGCATGTGTCAGGGTGACCTCTGCAACGGAGCCGGCCGGACACCCGCCTCCGCTGCCGCCGTCACCGCCGCCGCCCTCCTGAGCCTGACGGCAGCTGCATTGCTCAGCTGACGGGCCGGAGATGACGTCAACAGTCAGCTGACTGGTCGGTGATGACGTCATCAGTCAGCTGACTGGTCAGTGGTGATGTCATCAGTCAGCTGACTGGTCGGTGATGACGTCACAAGTCAACTGACTGGTCTAAGCTGATGTCATCAATCAGCGGATCGACCTTTGCTGACGAGTGACGCTTGGACAGTCTGGATCCCACAAGGTCACGACAAATGACGTGATGTCGCATAAGCGGATGTCATGCCTTCCGCAAAATGTCATCGCATGAAGTTTGCGGTCAAGTGCCTTCCGATGATTCAGAGCTGATGGACTCGCATGCGAGGCACTTGCTTTGTGAAACGAGGACACTAGCACGAGCATGTCTGGGATATACTCAGATTGCGACATGGACAAACGGGACTTCACTTCCATGACGTCATGATGCCTTTCGTTTCATCGCAAAAAATAATACCGTGAAGTGCAACTGATTGTTGGATAGCACTTGCGCACTGCAACCAAGGCACTGCAACAAGCTCTCAGAAAACCAAGCCTGCCCCCGCCAAAGGGAGGGTGTTGCAACAAGTGAAATGCCTGGAGTGTCTGACGTCGTTTGGACGGTTCCCAGTTGACTGTGGTTTACCATGCACTGTGCAGTGACTTCCTGCGACTGAGCCGAGTTCGGTGTTCTGTGATACCTACTGTCGCGACGCGGGACTGTGCTCCGGCACCAGGCGAGACTGGCTCTGAGACTGTATCGGACCAGTCATCTGGTTCGGACCAATCGGGACCACAAGTGAATGGGGCTCCGACCGTAAGGTCCAACTCGGTCGACTGTGCCAGGACGAGTCGGCTTTGAGTCAGCCTAAGTCGACTTTGAGTCGCAGTGAACAGTCTTAGCTGGGTTCGGTCAGTCTGAGCGGAGTCCGAGTCAGTCGAGCGGAGTCTGAGTCAGTCTGAGTGAAGTCCGAGTCAATGTGAGCCAGGAAGCGTCAATGTGAGTCGGTATGGATTATGCCTGAGTTCACGGCGTGTGCTCGTCGGTAATGTGTGGCCGAACCGGGACCAGAAATCCGGCCCAAGTTTCCTAGTGTAACTAGTGATCCCTAAGATGCGATAGGTATGTGAAATTCGATGCCAAGAGTAATAATATTATTTGAGAACATCGCAAAAAAAATACCTACGAGTATTACTGATAGGTATGTTGTCAGTTATCATTTCGTTAGTATCATCATCTTGCCTTCCCTGCGACTGCAACAAGTGTGGGTATTGGTTTTGAAATTTTGACTTCGCTCTTATAAATATGATGGACAAATGAGATTCGTGTATTGCACTGCTAGGATCGCAAACATACTGTGTTTTAATAAATTGCATCAATTCATGGTAAACCAGTCACGGAGCTATTTCCGTTTGAGACGGAAATGAAGAGCACGTAAAGCAACTACTGTTTAACGCTCTATTCACTAGGAAGTGAACGAAGCCGAACGCAGGATTACTGGAATGAGTGACTAGCGACTGAAGTCATTTCATCGACTTCATCAACCATTGGCCTAGTGAAACTTGAATTCCTGACACTTTCACCAAATATGGGACGTGTGCACTGTGCAGCTCGCCTTAGACGCCCATCCCTGACTTTAATCTCGCACCGCTACCAACACCAGACAGTAAGACATTTGGTAACATGTATTATTAGCACACGGTGGATGAGCGGCCGTCGACCCGTGCCCGCGATCGGACGGCCAGCCGCCCAATGACGTCACACTATCGCCAAATGACGTCACAAGACCACATATTATGACGTCACGCCGGCTGCCGAGCGAAATAAACAACGTGCACATACGAAACCGTCTGCGGCAAAAGCGGGCATCTGCGTCCATATGGCACTGGAAAGACGACTCAAAAACGTTACCTAGTGGTTCACTAGTGCTTTGTTTTCCATAACAAGTGCAGACAAACTGCATAGCTCCATGCCGCCCGGCACACGGTCAAGCGAAAACAACATACAAAGTCACGCATACATAGGGAAAAGGCGATACCGGCAAAGACCCGGAACAAATGCACATCTCTAAAATGCATCGGCTGGGTGGGAACACACTCTGACATGGTCATCGAACGCGAGGTCGCTCCAGCCCGCAATACGGGCCCGAACTAGATTCCCAACTGCACCGGGGCAGCAAACGGGGTGCATTCAGAAATCCCCACAGACCTAGCCCTCTAACCCAGCGGCACAAACGTCCCACTAACAAACGACGGACCGTCTACAGTCCCAGCAGGTGGGTTAGCTCGTGTGTGCGGAACCACGCGCGACCCAAGAGCGTCTCATCAGAGAATCCTACCCCAGCTCGTCGTCAATTGCCGGCGAACATACTGCATCCCTTCGGTGTACCCTCGGCGCTACGAACTCCGAACACAACTGCTGCAGTCACCCAGCACACCCGACCGCAATATCACATGGAAGATAGAGCCGGACCGGACCGGACTAGCCCGGAGGTATGGGGTCCCACAAAGGGTCCGATCTAGGATCCCACAGGGTCCCGACTCCTGAAGTGACATGGGACTGCTAGGGTTCATGGGAACAATATGAAAATCCAATGTTCCGCAGAGGGTCTCCGAAATTCCCAAGGAGATGAGAGGCAAGGGAAAGTTGATGTGTGCATAGAAGTTCAATTCATCAGAAGAGCTTGTGGTCCCACACCATACATACCCCTACAATCAATCCTCACCCACATCGGCCTAGACTCTGTATCCATCCCAAAAACACTCGCACGTACACGGCTGGATAGGGTCAAACTTCCTGTGGTCCGGATCCACACTTACACCATTTTGGGCCGGATACTGGCAGACAGACGCCGACTAAAGGAGGTTCACAAGGAATGTCCTGTGTCCGCGGACGGGGACTACGTTCCTCCCCAGCCCTCCCTATGGGAACACCCCCAGAAGACTCCCGTCGCGAGGGGATGGACCTCCTTTCGCGCAACGCCAGACATTTGTGGTCGACTAGCACACAAGCCTCTAAACATTCCTACGAGACGAGTCAGCCGACGTCTCTCACACTTAGCTACTTGTATATACTAAATCATCGGCATGATTGGAATAGGTGTATAACACGGCACCTACTATAAGCCGGCCGCCCGCGCCGGTCGCTCGGCCGCGTCTCAAGCTAGTGCGTGTGCTGATGTGTGTTTGGAGCAGTGGACTAGTTGAACTTGGAGCTTTAGACGCACTGTGCGGTCGCCGTAGACCCGGTACGCCAGTGTAGACGATAACGCGGTACATTCACACCGACTGGCGGCGTGTAGGCACCTCTTCGCCGCGCGGTGCTCCTGCATAGAGGTCGGCCACCACCGCACGCTACCCCTGGTGGGAGCACTCAGCCGCCTAACCGGTGGTCATGGGTGGTGGTGCTAAAGAATCCCCTCAGAGAGCTAGTGATAGCGAACGTAGGAGAACGGCCGCGCATAGTCTGCTCTTTGGTCAGATGACAAGACAGGTGTGTGGTGTGGGAGGCGGACCCGCCGCTCGTCCACTCGCCCACCTGCCAGCGAGCCTCCGGTGTGGCCGCTCCGGCCCCCGTCCGAGGGCGCGCTACAAGATGAACAGCTGATGGTGGTTCTGCAGAAGATAGTCGGTGAACGTGTTGATGGGCCCGATGGCTGAGAGCGACATCTGCCGGTTCTGGTGCCAGATCAGGTTGGGTCCGAACACCACCGCCAGGTTGGCAGAGGTCATCTTGTTGAGGTCACTTCGGTCCATCACCTGTGGAGGAGGTGCAGACTTGCCGGCTCAGTGATTGTTATATGAACAAATGACATGAGTCATAACTAGTCGTTGGGAGAGACATTCATTTGGGCCATGTTGGCTGGCCACATTTGCTAACGATAATTGTGGGTTCGGATAAGTACGGCGAAGTTTCCTACAAGATGAATCGACGATCTAACTTTTAGCTCAACAGTCAAAAGCTAGGTAACTCCACTATTAGATCTATAAGCCAAGAGTTAATTATGTTGCACGTATTGTCCGACAAAGGTAGCATTATAAACAGCCTGCGGTTACCTTCGCCAGGAAGTGGATGATGAACTTGAGGACGGTGTAGTTGTCTTCCGGCAGCTTCTCCAGCACCAGCGACTTGACGAGGGTGCCCCGCTCAGATTTGGGCATCGCTGCAAAAACATCCAATCTTAGCACTGATTCATGCCATTAGCACGAGACCGTGTTCGTGCGAAGAAAGGATCATGCGACAAAACTGAATGTACTCGTATCAGCGGTGATAGCGCATAAAAAGACAAATGACATTGAATTATGCCTGAAACAGACTCTTTCTGCGTTCAGGAAATCGCATGCGAGAGCCTATTCAAATACATTGTAATTCTTCTCGCATCAATCGCTTGCGGGAGATGCGTGCGATTGATGCGAGCGTGCTTCCATGTATTTGAATAGGCTCTCGCATGCGATTTCCTGACTGCGGAAAGAGTCTGTTTCAGGCTTTGGCCCGATCCATATCAAATTGCTAAAAGCATTTACAGTACGAAATCCTCGGGACACATCTTCGAAAACTCAGCCGAGGAACTGAACCCAAGTGAACCAAAACTGGCTATGTCGTCCAACAAATACCTCACACTACACACCCCTCCCAATCCATACCTTGCACCTGGACGATTTCGTCGTACAGGTCGAAGGTCATGAGCGGCTCCTCGAGCTCCCTGAGGAAGGACTTGATGAGCACGGCGGCCAGGTGCGGCTCGGTGAGCTGCACCGTCTCGCCGTGGTTGAACTGCGACTGCAGCTGGTGCACCAGGCGCACATTGGCCGAGCGTCGGAACAGGCCCTCCGTCTCCAGAGCGTCCGGGTGGCTCAGGAACTCGACACACTGCAATACAGGGATGTAGACGGTCAGGTGAGCCGTGAGGTACTCCGGGCGTCCGGGTGGCTCAGGAACTCGACACACTGCAATACAGGGATGTAGACGGTAAGGTGAGGCACTTCGGGCGTCCGGGTGGCTCAGGAACTCGACACACTGCAATACAGGGATTTAGACGGTCAGGTGAGGAATCCCCGGCGTCCGGGTGGCTCAGGAACTCGACACACTGCAATACAGGGATTTAGACGGTCAGGTGAGGAATCCCCGGCGTCCGGGTGGCTCAGGAACTCGACACACTGCAATACAGGGATTTAGACGGTCAGGTGAGGAATCCCCGGCGTCCGGGTGGCTCAGGAACTCGACACACTGCAATACAGGGATTTAGACGGTCAGGTGAGGAATCCCCGGCGTCCGGGTGGCTCAGGAACTCGACACACTGCAATACAGGGATTTAGACGGTCAGGTGAGGAATCCCCGGCGTCCGGGTGGCTCAGGAACTCGACACACTGCAATACAGGGATTTAGACGGTCAGGTGAGGAATCCCCGGCGTCCGGGTGGCTCAGGAACTCCACACACTGCAATACAGAAGGGGGAGACTAGATAGGTAAGGTGTAGCCGATGGCTGGAACAGAGCGCCAGGAAGCTCAGAAACTTAGCACACTGTCGTATACAAAGGTGGACGGTCATGCTAGGCCTAGTATTTTGTAAGTGAGTGTTCGAGTGGCGAAAAAATGTCAGTGCAATGCAGAAAGCAAGGTGGAACACTTGCCGATAGGGTCTTTGCCGATGTTAAAACTCAGAATCTGTTACCCGTTTTTACTTCCTTCCAGCGTGAACTAGTGTAACCCAGAACAATTACTACGAGAGGCAGCTTCACTACCATCTGCATGATTAACTACAAGTTGAGCGCTTGCCAGACATCGCCTGCACCCAGGAAGTGCAATCGAGTTCGCTCCAGAGTACGTCTGCCGCTCAAGGCGAGCTTGTACAACAGTTTTGAACACTGCCAGGGCACATGGACCCAGATTGCCACTGTCTGACAGGTTGGCACATAATCGGAAGAGACTGAGTCTGTTGGCCTGACCTTTATCAACTTTGACCATCACTACGAACCAAATAACCCTGTGTGGTGCAATGCAATTTTGTGAAGGTCGACGGAAGCTGAGCTGGGCATCAGGCGAATTTAACACAAATAGAGTGGCTACTGGACTTTGTGTAGGGTGCACGGTGTCCACTGCCAAGTACCACCAAAGTATCGGGAAATAGGAATCAGCAATCACCACCCAGTCTGTCAGTACTCTATGTTTGTCTTTGTTTTGCAAGAATCTTGTAATCTGATGGTCAGAATCAACGACTGGTGCAAAAAGTTAGACACATCTACATGTTAATCCCATGAGTGCCTCAGTCTGAATAAGCAAACTACCCGCCACAGCTCTCATAGTCACCAGTCACCACTCACCATTCTCCATAATTGTCCAGTATTTTCGATAGCATCTACACACATTCTGCACCTAGCGATCGGTATCAGT